TCTAACTAATCTATCCATCTTTCTACCTAACTAATCTATCCATCTTTCTTTCTAACAAATCTATCCATCTTTCTTTCCAACTAATCTATCCATCTTTCTTTCTAACAAATCTATCCATCTTTCTTTCTAACTAATCTATCCATCTTTCTTTCTACCTAACTAATCTATCCATCTTTCTTTCTAACAAATCTATCCATCTTTCTTTCCAACTAATCTATCCATCTTTCTTTCTAACTAATCTATCCATCTTTCTTTCTACCTAATCTATCCATCTTTCTTTCTAACTAATCTATCCATCTTTCTTTCTAACAAATCTATCCATCTTTCTTTCTAACAAATCTATCCATCTTTCTTTCTAACAAATCTATCCATCTTTCTTTCTAACAAATCTATCCATCTTTCTTTCTAACTAATCTATCCATCTTTCTTTCTACCTAATCTATCCATCTTTCTTTCTAACTAATCTATCCATCTTTCTTTCTAACTAATCTATCCATCTTTCTTTAACAAATCTATCCATCTTTCTTTCTAACAATTCTTTCTTTCACTTTCTTTCTTTGTTTCTTTCTTTCTTTCTTTCTTTCTAACAATTCCATCTTTCTTTCTTTCTTTCAAACAATTCCATCTTTCTTTCTTTCAAACAAATCTTTTTCTTTCTTTCTTCCTTTCTTTCTTTCTTGATGCTAATAACATGCTAATCATGCTAGCTTTATGCTAATCATGTTAGCTTCTTGCTAAAAACATGCTAGCATGATGCTAGCTACATGCTAATCATGCTAGCTTCTTGTTAAAAACATGCTAGCAACATGCTAATCATGCTAGCATGATGCTAGCTACATGCTAATCATGCTAGCTTCTTGTTAAAAACATGCTAGCATGATGCTAGCAACATGCTAATCATGTTATTATGATGCTAGCTACATGCTAATCATGTTAGCTTCTTGCTAGCAACATGCTAATCATGCTAGCATGATGCTAGCTACATGCTAATCATGCTAGATTCTTGCTAAAAACATGCTAGCATGATGCTATCAACATGCTAATCATGCTAGCTTCTTGCTAAAAACATGCTAGCATGATGCTAGCAACATGCTAATCATGCTAGCATGATGATAGCTACATGCTAATCATGTTAGCTTCTTGCTAGCAACATGTTAATCATGCTAGCATGATGCTAGCTACATGCTAATCATGCTAGCTTCTTGCTAAAAACATGCTAGCATGATGCTAGCAACATGTTAATCATGTTATTATGATGCTAGCTACATGCTAATCATACTAGCATGATGCTAGCTACATGCTAGTCATGCTAGCTTCTTGCTAAAAACATGCTAGCATGATGCTAGCAACATGCTAATCATGCTAGCTACATGCTAATCATGCTAGCTTCTTGCTAAAAACATGCTAGCATGATGCTAGCAACATGCCAATCATGCTAACATGATGCTAGCTACATGTTAATTCTTGCTAAAAACATGCTAGCATGATGCTAGCAACATGCTAATCATGCTAGCATGATGATAGCTACATGCTAGTCATGCTAGCTTCTTGTTAAAAACATGCTAGCATGATGCTAGCAACATGCTAATCATGCTATTATGATGCTAGCTACATGTTAATCATGCTAGCTTCTTGCTAACACATGCTAGCATGATGCTAGCAACATGCTAATCATGCTAGCATGATGCTAGCTACATGCTAGTCATGCTAGCTTCTTGCTAAAAACATGCTAGCATGATGCTAGCAACATGCTAATCATGCTATTATGATGCTAGCAACATGCTAATCACGCTAACAACATGCTAATCATCTTAACTACATGCTAATCATATTAGCATCAAGCTAGCTACATGCTAATCATGTTAGCTTCTTGCCAAAAACATCTATCTATCTATCTATCTATCTTTCTTTCTAACTAATCTATCTTTCTTTCTTTCTTTCTTTCTTTCTAATTCCATCTTTAAAACTTCATTCAAACTTCAAGGTCCTTCAATTGCTCTGGTCCGGCTTTCTCAAGCCAACTTAAAGTTTGTTTCATCAAACTTTTTTTTCTAGTTTCAATTGTGACCAGTGAATTAATGTGTGGCTTGCAAACACTGTTTGCTTGAGTCAAACTGCCTAATTTATTGGATTATTTCATTTAGTGATTTTTTTTAAATTTGAGTTTATCTTTTGTTTTCTTTGCGTTTTTGATTGTGGTGACTGGATGGTGATCAAATAGTTGGTCCCTTCTGGGCATTACATTAATTTGTTGTATTTTGTTTTCTGTGCATATCAATGCTCTCTCTTACTGTCTCCTCTTCATTTGTCGGCAGGACCTGGGCACCCGGGGGCCAGACGAGTGATCTTTTGGTGGTGGCATCCTCACTGTGTGTCGGGGTCTTCTCTGACATGAGTTGCTGAGTGTGTGCTTGTGTGTGTGTGCACTGTGAAAAGAGTGATTTTTCTAAGGGTGATATCTTGAGACTGCCCCTGTTGGTAAGCCCAGGTTCCTCTGCTGCCAACGATAGGATTTAACAAAGAGATGAGAGTGATTGCTGGGCAACACCTTTTAAAATTATTGTGTCTTACCAATTAATAAACTTTTGTACGACTACCATTGTCTCTGATTCATCCATGGTTAGGATCTGCGTGTGCCTTCTGAGTAGAGGTTGTAAAATTCTTGGGGTGAAATTCCTCAGGTGGCGTAATCGGAGATAGTATCAAATCCATTTATAATAGAGCTGCCCAAAACACATTTAGCCACAACAGCATGAACAATTGATAACGGCACATGCCCACTACCAACATCCGTCGCCATGATTTTTGGAAGGATTATCGTGAGAGGAAAAAATTACGTTTTAGACGCGTAACATTGGCTAATATAAACGCATATTATTATTATATATTTATACGACAGGGCCGTTGAATGCTTGAATCAGATTGGCTGATGAACGTTCTAAGGTGTGTAATTATTGTCATGGAAACGCACAGGTAAAGTAGTTTCGGCAGGTCTCGACCACATTACAGTTCCATATCACTTCGCATAGCTATCTGTAATAACGGAAAATACAATTCATAACCAGAAAAAAACATGCAGCTCCATTCGCTTGATCTGCAATTTTCGATGTCTAACTTCACAATCAATGGACACAAATAAATAAAGTAGTCCTATATATAATCAATAGAAAATTAAACTGAATATATAAATAAATTGATACTGCTGCACAGGTTTTTGTAATTATTGCAGATAATTTAAAGGTGCCCTAGAATGTGAAATTGAATTTATTTTGGCATAGTTAAATAACAAGAGTTCAGACATACAGTGAGTCTCAAACATCATCGTTTTCTCCTTCTTACTTAAATCTCGTTTTTGAAAAACACCCCTGAAAAACAGGCGAATCTCCACATAATACCGACTGTTACGTAACAGTCGGGATCATAAATATGTACGACTCCAAACATTTGCATATGCCAGCCCATGTTCAGTGACAGACGAGACGGAGCTGCGCAGCCGAAGCATGGCAGTTTCTCAGTGTTTGAATGTACACATGAACACAAAAGTATATTTAATTCCTTCATCCGAGCCTCTGAAGAAACAATGGGTTAATTTTATTTTCTCTGGAAATTCAACTTCAACTTCCCAAGAGCTGGCCTCGGATCGAGCTGATGTGTTATTGTTGTTCAAGTTCAGACAGGTAATCTTTCACTTTAAAATCGTTCAATACTGTTTATGCATCAGTAATTCAGGCCAGTGATTAAATATCAACTTCACATCGTTCCTTTTAGTAGGATGAAAAATAAAAATCGTATTTAAATTGTGAATTATATACAGAAAGAAAGCGATCAAAGAACAATCACAGCGCGAGTTTATCTGGACACTTGCCAAACTCGTTATGAATTCAATGACGCACGTTACACTGCACAACGAAGCTCTTACTGTATTTACATTATCATGTCTGCATTAGTGAAAGCAGAGAAGGCAGAAACTGCATTGCAATGATAAGATCTTCATTCTCGCGATCGACACTCTCACTGTCCTTTGCTTGCTCAATGCTCATCACAGCAACACTTTATGTGATGGGAATAGATCTAAATACTTCAAAAACATCTCACGATTCGTTAATCTCGATAGCTGTAATAGTAAAAACCTATAATAGCTGTAGTAGAGAGAGTTCGCATGTACTACATAGCTATTCCATATGCAAGCATGTCAGCCAATCACAACAGAGGCCGGTTACACACAGCAGACACGCCCCTTCAAACAGAGCGTTCACAGCAGAGGCTAAATCAGGCTAGGAAAAATGCCTTTTAGTTCTAAATTATGACTATTTTTGGTCTAAAAAACATACTTACATTATAAGGGCAACCAAGGAAACATTATAAAATAATTTAAAAAACCATTCTAGGGCACCTTTAACAAATAAATAATTATTGATAGGCATATACTTGCCTATCCTTATACTTTCATTTTTTAGAAAAAAAAAAAAAAGAATGAACGAATTGAATTAATAAATGAATCATAATATTAACACACGTGCTTTTCTTTCTCTCTCGCTCTCTCTCCGTTTCTCTAAAATTATGTTTTGTAATTAGCAACGGAGGCATGGGATTAGATGCGTGAGAAATTAATCCTTCATAAAAGATAATTTTTGCTAAAATCTGTAATGGAAACGCACCTAGTGTTCACACACTTACTCACGTCACACAACCATATTCTCACACAGTGAAAAATCACAGAGCAAAGACACTGACACCGACAGACGACACAGAGTAGGGCACAATGATATGAAAATGAGCTTTCAAATTCTGTCAATTTTATTACAAAATTCAAACTAAAAATACCACTCCTTACCAAGCTTAACTCAAAAGTTGGCAGCGCTGTTAGTGCTGAGCAATAAAAAAAAACTGTATAAACAATGTGTCAATGCTGTTTATTAAGTCTAGATCAATGTGCATGGATACATGACACTTTAAAACCAATATCCATCATTATATTTTATAAAGTAGTATTTACTAACCATGAATAATGACGATGTGGTGTTGCTCGTTCCTCCACTGAACTTGAACTGTCTTGAGCAGAAGTTACTTTGAAACTCCTTTAAACATGTATTTCTGTAAAGGACTGTGGAGTTATTTTCTTCTGAACTTAAACCTGTTCAACCAGAACTTTTCCAGTAAACTAATATAACCAGTTTGTCAAAAGGAGTTGTGACTTTTTTCTTTAAATGCCTGTATTTCCTTCTAAGCTTTTTTTGTGTGTGTGTGTCCTGATTTCACAGTGCTCTTGTGTCTTCTGTGATTGGACAGCTATCCGCTCGGGAAAAGTCCAGGTGAAAGTGGCCATCAAAATATTTGATTGAACTATATGCCAACTGGAGTAAAGTCAGCATCTCAGGGCCCTTAGATGTGGGAAAGTTCAACTTGCAAAAATCATATAAGGCCAAGACACTCGAGAATTTAGAAGAAATAAAATCTATCCGCACAGCAAGTGTGTGTGAGGATCACATGCCAAGGACATGTAGAAGAGTGAGAGGAGTTTAACCACACAGGAGTGTGAATGCAATCTAGCATAGTTTCCACTGACGCATATGTTGACTGAAGTCTTCTCTTTAAGGAAGAAGGAGTGTGTAGCATGCAGTGGTGGAATGTAACGAAGTACAAATACTTTGTTACTTTACTTAAGTACATTTTTCACGTATCTGTACTTTACTTAAGTACAATAAATAGTGCATACTTTTTACTTTTACTTCGTTACATTTTGCAGCAATAATTATACTTTCTACTCCACAACATTTACAACTTCTGTTACATTTTCATTACATTTTCTGATCAGTTTTTCCCCGGCCAAAACGTAATCTGACCGTCCGTTCGTTACACGTTTGTCTCACCAGTGACGTTTGGTTGCCATATAGATACATAAACTAAATGCGCCTCGCACGCAGTGTGTTTATCGTGCAATTTATATGCAAAAATTTGTTTTTACGTGCATAGGAAACACACCGTGTGTAATATAAGTTTGGTTAGGATTATGGCAAGCTAAGAGATTCAGAATTACACCATAAATTAATCGCGTTTACTGCCAAACATAGTAAGTTAGTAAGGATAAGCATGGTTTATATTGCCTAATTGCAAGCTTGTTTCAGAAATTGTGACGACATTTTTTTCCATCATTATTGAACATCATTATAGGAGTATTAGGTTGAATGAGTTAGAATTAAATGTTTTATTAATCATTAGAAAATAGTCATTAAGAAAATCAATTGTTATGCAAGTACTTTTACTTTTAATACTTAAAGTATATTTAAAATTAGGTACTTTTTACTTTTTACTTAAGTATGGTTGTCATTGTGTTACTTCTACTTTAACTAAAGTAAATATTTATCTGGTTATTTGTACTTTTACTTAAGTACTGAGATTCAGTACTTCCTCCACCACTGGTAGCATGAGATATACTTTCAGTTTTAAACATGAACACACGTTTCTCTACCTTATAAGGATAATGTTAAGTTCCTTTGGTCAGCATATAAATGCGGATCCTTTGTCGAATGATTCTGTGATTTGTGGAGAAAAGTATAATAACTAGTCTAGACTTGTGGCAGGGCTGCCAACTCTCAGGCATTCAGTGCGAGACTCACACTATTGACACTGTTCACACACTTACTCACTTCACACAACCATATTCTCACACACTGAAAAATCACAGAGCAAAGACACTGACACCGACAGATGACACAGAGCAGGGTACTATGATATGAACAAAGTCTCGACTTTCACATTCTGTCAATCTTATTACAAAATTAAAACAAAAAATACTGTTTTGCGCTCCATAATTCTCACAACAAGCTAAACTCAAAAGTTGCCAGCCCTGCTAGTACTAAACTAAAATGGTTAGCATTTCCTTTTGTATACAGTTGTGTGATTTATTAGTCAAATTAATAAATTCATCAAATAAAATAAATAAAGCTTACTTTGACTGATAACATTATTTATTTTTCTAAGATTTCTATAGATATCACAATATATTTTTATCATGAACTATTTTGGCCATGACAATCGTGTACTGAAAAATCTGATATTGTGACTGTCCTAATCTAAATGAGTTGTAATAAAGGTTGTGAGATGAATATGGTTATCTATGAAGAGAGAACGTCTCGGTTACGTATGTAACCCTCGTTCCCTGAGTAGGGAACGGAGACGTTACGTCAGAAGTGACGGAGATTGGGGGATTTCGCATAGAAAGCCAATCCTCTTCGAGTATTTAAACACGAGCCAATGGCATGCAATGCCTTGGGGCTGCGGAAATTTGCATAGCGTACTCCGCCCTACTCCGTGAGTATAAAAGGAGGAAGTGAACGCAACCGCAGTATGTCTTCGCTGAGGAGCCAAGACTGAACTCGGCATCTACCCAGCGATACAGCAGAAGTGGCAGGGAGACGTAACGTCTCCGTTCCCTTCTCAGGGAACGAGGGTTACATACGTAACCGAGACGTTCCCTTTCGTAGTCACTTCGAGTTACGTCAGAAGTGACGGAGATTGGGGGTCTGTGCCATCACGCCATCTTCAAGCTGTCTTCCAGTGCCCTGCGAAAGTCTGGACCCCCGAGCCTTACCTCTTTTTTTTTTTTTTTTTTTTGGGGATCCGACTTTGACACAGGATTACCAAGGTACACTGGGAAACATATCCCGGAAGGGACATGCTACCAGCTGCCTACCGAAGGGAGGACTTACGAATACACATATGGCCACATAGGAACACATATGGAACACTGGAGTACCAACCGCAGGTGGCTACAATTTCAACTCCAGGGGTGGCAGATGGCTTGCCAAGGGAAGACACATGCTCGGAGAGGCTTACAGTGGATAATACACATGAGACGGTTACCATGGGGAACCGTGCGCATGGAGGCACCTAGCCAGCATCCAGAGCAACAGCAGTGGTGCCCGCATCGTCGGTGCTGGAGGACTCAAGACTTCAATGGAAGAACTGAGGAATATCGCACTTATCCAGTCCGGGGAGTGGAGTGGCGAGCAAGCGAAGACACCTAAGCGGATCCAGAACTGGCCGAAACGAGTACGTGAAAGGATACCGGCTCAATTCGCAGATTATAGAATCTGGCGAAGGTGTTGGGTGTCGCCCAGCCTGCAGCTCTGCAGATGTCTGTTAGCGAGGCGCCGTGCGCTAAAGCCCAAGAGGAGGCTACACTCCGAGTGGAATGGGCCGTCACACCAAGGGGGCACGGAAGGCCTTGCTGCTGGTAAGACAAAGCAATGGCATCCACTATCCAGTGGGACAGCCGTTGCTTTGAGAGAGCCCTTCCCTTCTGGCTCCCCCCATGACAGACAAAGAGCTGGTCTGAGGTCCTGAACACTGCGTTCTGTCGACATAGGTGCGGAGAGCACGTACCGGACAGAGCAGTGCCAAGGCTGGGTCTGCCTCCTCCAGGGGCAGCGCTTGCAGGTTCACCACCAGGTCCCGGAGGGGAGTGGTAGGAACCTTGGGCATATATCCAGGCCGGGGTCTCAGGAATACGTGAGAGTAAGCCGGCCCGAACTCCAGGCACACTTCGTCAACAGAGAGTGCGTGCAGGTCCCTTACTCTCCTGATGGAGACCAATGCAATCAGGAGTGCTGTCACATAGGACAGGGCAAAAACTCTACCGACTGCAAAGGCTCCAGGGGAGGCCTCTGCAGAGCACCCAGGTCTACTGAGAGGTCCCCAGAGGGCAGGAGGGAAGGGAGGCGGATTTAGCCCCCTCACTCCCCTCAGGACCTGATGACCAGGTCATGCTTCCCAAAGACTTACCTTTCACTGCATCATGAGACGCGGCAATGGCCGCGACATAAATCCAAAGGGTGGAGGGCGACAGCCTACGCTCCAACCCCTCTTGCAGGAAGGAAGCACGACTCCGATCGAACATCTCCGGGGGTCTTCTCAGCGAGAAGAACACCAATTGACGAAGAGGTTCCACTTCAACGCATAAGGTGTCTCGTGGACGACGCTCTTGCGGAAGTGATGGTTGCCGCCACCGCAGGTGGCAGCGAACTCAAACCTGCCTCGTCCCGTCCTGGAGCCACACGTGCAGCCTCCAAGATCGGGACGAGGGTGCCACAGAGTGCCCCGTCTCCGAGAGAATAGTCTCAGAGGAATAGGCCAAGGAGGTGCTGTCGCGAGGAGCATGAGTTCGTAGAACCACGTCTTGGTGGGCCCGAAGGGGGCTACCAGCAAGACCTGCTCCTCGTCCTCCTTGAACTTGCACAACACCCGTGCAAGGAGGCTCACTGGGGGAACGCACACTTGCGTGGGCCCCGCAGCCAGCTGTGCGCCAGCGCATCCGAACCGAGAGAGCCGCGGGTCAGAATTAAAACTGGGTGCAGTGGGTCGAGTCCTGAGAGGCGAACAGGTCTATCTGTGCCTCCCCGAACTGGTCCCAGATCAGCTGGACCGACTGGGGATGGAGTCGCCACTCGCCGGAGATGAACGGACCCGTGACAGCTCGTCGGCTGCCAGGTTCCGGTCTCCAGGAATGTACACTGCACGAAGGGACCTCAGGTGCTTCTGACTCCATATCAAGAGGTGGCGGGCGAGCTGCGACAACCGGCGCGAGCGTAGACCCCCCTGGTGGTTGATGTACGCTACTGCCGAAGTGTTGTCTGAGCGGACAAGCACATGCCGGCCCTTGAGCAACGCTCGGAAGCGGTGCAGGGCGAGCCGTACTGCCAGTAGCTCGAGGCAATTGCTGTGCATGAGGCGCTGGGCTCCTGTCCAGGAACCGGCGGCTGCATGCCCATTGCACATGGCACCCCAACCCGTGGTAGGCGCATCCGTGGAGACAACGAGATGCCTGGAAACTCGCTGAATAGGGACACCGGTCCGTAAGAAGCTGAGGTTCGACCACGGGAAGAAGGTTCGGCGGCACGCTGGAGTCACTGGAACTCGGAGCGAGCCGCGATGCCATGTCCACCTCGGGACTCGATCGCGAAGCCACAGCTGAAGCGGTCTCATATGAAGCAAACCGAGCGGCGTTACCGCGGCCACGGATGCCATATGCCCCAGGAGCCTCTGAATAGTTTCAGTGGAACCGCACTCTAGCCCTCGAACAGTC